TGGCGGCTCACAGTCCTCCGTCCTCGTTCGTCACTTCCTCAATTGGTGTGTCACTGTAAATGTGCCATGTAAATTGATCTCAATTGTTATTTACTGTCGAATATTGAATACATTTTATCAGACAGTCTGTCATCTGTCCGCTTAAGAGAGGTTGGTTTGCCCATTGGGACCTCAAGTAAGGTGTCCGCGTCCGTTAAAGAGGGGTGTCCGCTTAATAGGGGTTATGATAATAGTATTTTATTAAAGAAAACGAATGGGACCTGAGATATGTGTCCGCTTAAAAGAGGTGTCCGCTTAAGAGAGGTGTCCGCTTATAGGGGTTCGACTGTATAATGTTAATATTAAAATCGTTCCTTTTCAAAGTTATCTTCTTTCTTCAGCCTCTTTCGTTTGTTCACTGTTCGTTTTTTCTTTGTCGTTGTCTAGTTTCGTTTGAGCTTCAGTAGCTTTTTCATTTATATTCATTTAGTCGCATAGCAACAACAGCAGGCATAAATTAACATTTGTTGCCATATGGCAACTGCGCCGAATAAAGGATTAAGCTTTATTCAGCGTACGTCCACTGACGAATTTGGGTTGTGCACGCACTTTTATACTAACGGTTGAGGGATCTTTGTACACGTGATGTAGCAAGTGGTGTGATTTGTATCCAGCCAATCAACGTTGAGGTTTAAAAGTGTGGGTTGGCGTTGGTAGCTCGTTCCAGCCCTCAAATTCTGTTTATTTAAGGCGTTGTCGCACTGGTCGAGTTGGTTCGCTGTTCAATCGATCAATGTTAAAATATGTTCACAACTTAAAATACTTATCAAAATATCATAGTAAAAACTTCAAACTATACCTATGTGAACCTTACTTTACCTGCTAAACTAAATTTACTTACAATTTTATTGAACCAAGATTTTGATGACGTAATGTTATCATTACTCAACCGCGCGAAATATACCGAAGAATGATTGACAGAAAGGCCCTAAGTACGCACATTTTCATGTCAGAGAAGAACCAGCCTTGGACTTTGAATTATGTAAACACAACAGCCCACCATGCAAGGTTATCGTCCAACTTTGATGACAGTTTGACAAATCATTTATCTTGCCTAATGGACAGATAATTGACACTTTTACACAAGTCCGAAATGATATATACTTTATCTGAGTTTTACAGCAAAAATGCTCATTATCTCTCCATTTGACGTAACTAGTATCTATAATTACCTGGGGTGCAAATTGAACTATTTTTATACTATTTAGATATACTTTCGTAACAAGACTTTTAAACGGCTGGTTGATTTTCCAAGCGGTTTTCCAGTTATTGCTATTTAAAAACGTGATAAACAGGCAAAAATCCTGCCAAAGTCCTGGACACTAGCCCTAAAACATATTTTCAACCGCTCATAACCCCAGAGGAGTTGGAAAATCAAAGTAACTGCTTAAATGTCTTATATGCAGTTTTTTGTCCCCGAGCCGACGGCACGAAGCGCCGTGCGAGGGTACTAATTCCCCCCGGCTATTTACACCCGGGGAAACGAAAGCATTAGCCAAGTCTAAAGTTCATCAAATATCGCGGGCGTGGCTCACCAACGAAGTTTCGGTGGGTGGTCATCCTCACTGATCTCAAAAATATGGCGGACTGTCATGAATAGCGGACACTGATTTGTCCAATTTACAGTTTGCATTATAACGACTGCATGACGACAGCGAAACAGCAAACATTTCTTGATTTGATGATTGATAAATTTCTTGCAAATATATCTTATTTTTGCTCTCATTTTTGCAAGATTTTGTAAATTTCAAGAAAGAAAAGACTAAAGAATGCGCTAAAAGAAGGGAGCCGACGTTAACAAAGGTAAGTTTGTTTTAAATATTTATTTTATAATTGTTTTAAAACCCGACGGCCTTTGAGTATATGATAAAGTTCATTTCTTGCAAGTTGTATTTTAGCAAGATTTTGTAAATTTCAAAACCTTTCTGAGAGCCAAAAACGTCTAAAAACGTCTAAAAGAATAGAGCAAAGTCGCCGACGTTAGCGAAGGTATAGTCGTTTTAAATATTGATGTATTTTTTGTCTTATAATTGATATATTTATAACTGATAGTGGTGGGCGATACGGCGAATATCGAACTAAACCTATCATTGCGTATATAAGTGAAAAAAGACAGCATATAATTTCAGTGTAGTTTTATTAACTACTTTTTCTTTTGTATATTAAAGTATTTAAATAAAGAGGAAAGCAAAGTTATTTTCATGCGAGAATTTGAAATCAGCTTATTTCAAACTCAATGACAATGTTTACCGATAATTCGATAAAAGGCCGTTTAGTTTTGAGAACATTTTAAAACGTTTTGCGAAGCGTTTGTGGTTGAATTTTACATTAAATTGATGCTTATATTACGTATAATAACATACCTGGCATACATATGTTTGGGAAATTGATAATTTTGTTATTAAAAGTGATATTTGGGGGGGATTTTTCAATTTTAAAACCAGGTTTAAAACTATTCTTAAAATTATCGTGTTACCATGACAACTACTTTCAATTCTTCATAATATTCAGAAAACATAATGTTTTGTCAGTAAGGCGAGGGTTTCTGCATGCATGTATTTTCTAGTAAGCTTTCTAATGACGCGTGTCATTTTTGCTATATGCGAACCTGCAATTTCACAATTTTTAATTGTATAAGAGATTAATAAGAGAATATAAGAAATCCTAAATTTTAAGCCGTCAGCATCAATTTTGGTGATGCCTCCATATCAAAGATTCATTATCATGTTAAAGTCTACACTTCCCGTGAATTTGGTGCTTTCTTCACAAAGTGCATGATTTTCTCAATTATCTGTGCATATCCGCTGGACTAATAGTTGGCCGCACAACATTGTTCACGCCTGTCGATATCAACTTGCAACAACCTGCGCGTTTTTAGCCGTGTAGGCTGAGTAGGTAATGTAAATAATCGTAATACTCGATGTAGTCGGTCACTGAAAAGCCCCGATGATGTGAACAGTATCTATATGCATGTATAGTTTAAAACATTACCTCCTACACGCATATCGATCATCGGTATGATTACACATTTAATAATACAAATTACATTTAATAGTTATATAAATTACATCATACATAAGAAAGCGAAGGTTATACATCATGGTACAACTGATATGTGCTTTTCTGTCACTGGTCTGAAGACTAGACTGGATGAAACATCCTTTTGAAGCCAGAATTATAATTTTGAAGATGAAATTTTCAAATCTGTCAAATTCTTTACCAACGGGAATCGTTAGCTGGTTAAATTCTAAATTCGGTTTTACTATAAGGCAAATATGTTTTTCTTAAACTTAAAAAGTTTAAACACTAGATATTAATATTAATAATACTAATATTAGTTATTCACTGGTCAATTTAAAAAGAAAGACAGGCCACTGATAACCATACGTCTTCTTTCCCATCAGTGACAAGAAATAAACGGTATAAGATTCTCGTTTAGCATGCAAGTAAGACAAAAATACCACAGTAGATTTGTGGTGGTTGGACGAACCAATATGGCCGCCATACAGTCCTAGTCTTTAGATCAGTGACATATAATATATGCACTAAAATTAATAAAAATCCGACCTATTGGCATTGTTCCTGAAAACGCAAAAATGATCAGCATTATTATAATGATGCATGATTACACGGTCAGTGCCGTTTTACAAATATCACAAGAACAGATGTTGCATTTATTCGAGTATTTACGTCAAAACTCCATGACCGAATAGACCAAATCTGGACTTTTTTAAACAATTAACGTGCAAATGTTTTGTTTTATTTCCTCTAGAATACACTAGTCAGATTAATTTATCGATTATAGAATATTAATTAATAGTGCAAAGCTTAGATTATTTGGGAATCACCACGTTGATCGGCTTCACTATTTGTCGCTATGATTTCTTTCTAGGGGCTGATTATATGGAGCGATTTCAGCCCGGGCTGAGTTTCAGTCCGGCTACTCGGGTTGAAAATTCAGCTCGGATTTAACGATAAATCCCAATAAAATCCCGCGCAAGGCAAAAATTTCAGCCCGGGTTAACTCTTGCTTGGTTCGAGCTATGTAGTCACTTCCGTCCGGGCATGCGCGTTGCAGTGTTTGTATCGCGTTCATTGCGTATTCCCGGGCTGAAATCGCTCCATGTAATCAGCTCCTAAACAGAAGTGTTTGTTATATGTTTTTGTCTGAGTTCATGTTAAAGTGCGACTAACCCCAAATATAGTTATTTTTGGTATGTGTAATATTTGGGTCATTCTAAGATGAAATGTAATGTATCTTTATTGTAAAAAACCTCATCTTGATCAACTTTTTCACTATCAAAGTTCCAGATGTGATGTCATTAGGTGAATTTTTGGTACAAAAAACAAAGGAAAACTAATTTACAATTCACCTATAATGACATCATATCCGGAAACTTTGACAGTGAAAAAGTTGATCTGGATGGATTTTTTTATTATAAAGATATATTACATTTCTTCTTCAAATGACCCAAATATTACACATACCAAAAATCATATTAGTGGTTAGTCGCACTTTAATTTGCGCACGGTCACGGTGATTGAGCTCATTGTATTTTCATATAATGAAGTAATCGTCCAATAGGGATAACTGAGATGAAACGTGCAGCCACAATGAATAATATTTAATGAAGTTGAGGCAAAAGAATTTGTGCGTGGTAAGGTACAGTTCAACATCAAACAAAGGTCTTCGTGCCTTTGAAGTTTGCCGGGATTCCATACCATCATATCTTAATTTAATAGATTACGCTTTTCCAAATTGGGTTAATCGAGCCAATATTGATGTCGTCCCAGTTAGTGATGGGAGTGTGTTCCTCATCTGTTTTAGTGCATGCTAATCGTTATCGTATCGCCAGTTTTCCCCTTCAATGAAATGATTTCGCGTATCATTTGCTTTTGTTCTGTGTTACCTACATATTTTTTCACAAGTGTACCTTCGTCCCAAATTGCGTCGAAAAAAAGCGGGAACGTACTCACTATTAATGAGCTGATTATTTGTGCAGAGCTTGAGATGTTGGATTTTTGGGTTGATGACATCATGGCATATAAAATAAGAAAGAAAGTGGCAACGAAGACCATTCTAGCAAAAAAATAAAATAAGACTTTGTCATAGGGCAAAATCTTTTCTCTTATCTTGTTATAGAGAGTTTTCAGAATCTTTCCATCCTTAACATTTACTGTAAAGACCTCTAAATTTCCTTCAGGATTTTGAACAGGTGCTTCATTGTTTTCCCATAATTCCTTGCATACTTCGTACGTGTTTGTTTTAAGAACCAAGTACTTTATTTCAATAAAAAATTTCCAGTATTTCCAGAGATAAACAACAAGACCTATTACGGGCACGGCGATTGGACCAAAAAATTCTCCGTTAAGGTAAATAGCAGCAGTAAACAAGAACGTTGAAAATAAGCATATGACAATGAAACACATGAGCACACCAAGTGCTATTGGTTGTAGTAATAAAACAAATAATTTCCAAAGTTTAAAAGAAGTAAAAATCCCAAAGCATAATGTTCTATATATCACCACGTGCAAAGATGAAATCAAATTGAACCCAGAAACAATAATAAAAGCAAAAGGAAAGCAGATTACGGAAACTAAAACATAACAAAACTTAGGCGTACGTGTCTGGTAGTTCGAGAATTTTAACGTTAAAATATTCCACCAGAATTTGATATTCAAAGGTAAAGTAAGGATGGTTATATGGGCATTATACACATTAACTGATAGTCGATTCAGCAGCTCAGGATCATTTTCATTTAACACAAAAATGTCAAAAGCCATACAAGGAATATGACAAGAAAACAGCAGAACAATCAAATAAGCAGGGGGAGTAGTTAAAGTGATAATGGTTGCGATTATCACCCCTGAAACATGTCCTTCATTATACAGGGTATAGAAAGTTGTTGAAAGTGCCAATGGACTGTCCATAATTTCATAATGCACTTTTTCATCGTCGGGATCTGAAATTATTAAAGGGAAACCAATATATAAAATGACGAATCCAAATAAAAGCACACCGTATTGAATAGATTTCACTGCGAATGATAAGTATTTAGCACAAATCGTCCGCTTTTCACCACTGGCCACTCTGCAACAATTATATTGTTTTACTGATTCTTTTTCATTATTAAATGCACGACATAACTTATAATTATGGGTGTCGTCTGAATGAGAAAGCTGATCCAACAGAAAGTCAAAGACACGTTCAGATCCTTTGCTTTCTGTTGGTAAACATCCATAATTTTTCACAGAAACAAGAACATCCACTTTTTCTATCCCACCATTAAGCGGGCTTAGCGGGAAATGCCACCAAAGTTGCACGGAAGACGTGTATCGTGCAGTTAGAGAGATTATTGTTCGACCAATTTCGCTTGCCCAAGGCCACATGAGTTCTGGGAAACGTTGCGTTTTGTTTCCCGAATTGATGGACACTTTTATTTCTACAACATTTGTAGTATAATTATGCATAAATCCAAGGATATTCTCGACTGTTGACTCATCTATTCGAAGCTTGCGGTTGTTCAATGCGTTGGTAAGATTTGAGGTTGTCATATTTAGGTTTGTACCATTTTCATTTCCCAGCGAGGACGTTGAATTATTCTGAGCTAAGCCCACCCAGGGCAGATAAAGGAGGAGAACCACGCAGTTAAAACAGACAAATGAAGTCATCTTGCAAGATATACGACCAAAAATAACTTCGCAACTGAACCCTATTTTTAAAAGAAATGTTGAGAATCATGCATAAATGAGTTTGATTTAATAATAACTCAATTTTGTGTTTAGATTGGAGAAAAAATGTTTTGTTTAATAAACTATTTTCATGAAAGAATTTGTTGTTTCCATAAGGCATCGGAAGCAGTCTTCCCAGTGCCTTTTTTAACTATAGTAGCTGGGAGGGGGCAACCCCCCTGTCTTCTTTGGTGTCCCCAGTAATTTTGGGCCCCCAGTCAAGGTCCCATTTCTCTAAAATATTAAGGCTGCTTTCCAATTACCCTTTTTTTATACAAGCGTATACGGACAGAAAAGTTAAAATATCTTTAAATGTTACTTATGATATAACTGAATGAATAAAAGGAAAGCATATAGTTTTGTGAATAGTTTAATGTGCATTTGTGCAGATAATACCAAATATTGACATTTTTCAAAGTCGCCCCAATCGAAAGACCTTTATTTTCAAGACGCCCAAACCTTCATCTAGAAAATTTAGGACACCCCCCCTCCAAAATTTAATTAATTACAAAATTCTATTTTTAATAAATCAGTTACTATATAATTATACCAAAAGGTGTCCATTGTTTTATATTTTTAAGGTGGCTCGATACAGTTTTCAAAAATTCAGGCGTTCAACACTTTGACATGTTCAAACTACGCATTTTTAGGATTCATTCAGCAGATATTGGGCTTTTTACATATTTTGATATCTCTACTTTTAATTATTATTATATTAGTTTTAGTCTTATTAGTCTTATTATATTAGTTTTAGTGACAGATAGTTCGTTTCTATGACGACATATGTGTACGAAATTTACTCCAAAATGGCTTATCGTCTCGTATAGTTGGAAAAGAAGCATGGTGACCCCCAATTTTTTTTCGTGCATTATTTTACTTGGACGAAAAGCTAACAATTAGCAAAATATAAAAAAAAATCTGTAATGCCATTTTTTCGGAAAGTGTGAAAATATCGTACTCTTCGGAAAATGTTTTTGGCATTACAGAATTTTTTATTTTTTGTATAATGAAAGTTTTTAGCGGTGCAATACAGCATGCAAAATTTGAACATTTCATTTTGTTAATCAGTTTCGGCCACAGAATAAAAATAGACCAGAAGCCTCACTTAGCCAAAATTATGTCCGAGATTTTTTATGCGCAAGCGCGAGCCAGCAAGTTTAATCACGACGCCATTAAAGGCGAGCAATCGTAGGCCATCAATTGCCATCACTAGGTAATATTGCTGTTTTAACCGTTTTTAAATGCCACAGGTCCAAATAATGGTCATCGCAACAGGAAGACACAACGTAAAAAACAAAAGCGTAAAATATTTGCACAATAATTGCAGAACATGCAGCGTACACTTTGAGCGTGTTTTTCGAATTTCAAGAAAAACCGTTGATTTGAGGATTGACGCTGACGTGATGTTCGCAGCAAGTGTCACACACGTCATCTAGCGTGCGAAATACATGATACGCAAGGCAAAAATCGCGGACACGAAAATGTTAGGGAAAGGTGTACAGTGAGACTTCTGGTCTATTTTCTATTCTGTGCTTCTTGTCTATTTTCTTTTCTGTGGTTTATGCGACTTGCGCGTAAGAATGGTCACTCAGTTTTGCTCGCGATCCTTGAGCAGGGTTTTTGTGATAACTATATCGAGCCACCAATTTTCACTTAAGAATAAGTGTTAAAGTGCCTCGAACGAACTGCGAGTTGATTAAATGGCTTGAAACACGACTACAAATTCAATAGATATGCTGTCTTATTAGCATTCTTTATATAAAGAATACTAATGAGGACACGACTACCTGCAATAGATACTGCATGCCTTATTAGTATTCTTTATATAAAGAATACTAATTAGGAGTGTTTTACCACATTAATAATATACATAGAAATATTACTCGACTGTGATTGGTTGGTTTCAGTGCATTTAATCCCAAACAGCAGTGCAAAAATCTGTAACAGCAGTGCAAAAATATGTAACAACAGTGCAAAAATCTGTAGCAACAGTGCAAAAATCTGTAACAACAGTGCAAAAATCTGTAATCACAGTGCAAAAATCTGTAACAACAGTGCAAAAATCTGTAACAAACTGATCTGATTGATGGAAAAACATTGTGATGATAAAATAAACCAATCAGTTTAAAGCAATTTAGTTTAAAGAAGTAACGGTCACAGATTGCTTCAAAACAAAACAAACATGGCGCTGCGCTACACAAAGTAAAAGTTGCCTTCGCGTGGAAAATATTACTTTTATCTTTATTTTTAAATGAAAAAGCATTTACCTTAAGGTAATTCCGCAGTAATTGTTCCCGAAATGAGAATGTGCTGAAACTTCCCAGGCATGGAGTTTATGATATACTTCAAGTAAAATCACACAAAAAAATTGGGGTCACCGAACTCGTTAAGAAGACATGACAATCACAATATACCACCTTTACCCCAATATGAAGCCATCTTGACGCTCATTACGAGGGGCAGCAAAATCACAACAGCCCGATATTTATTGACGTTTTTAGTGCGGATTTTGCTTTAGTAAACCTATCTTGTAATTATTTTTGAAAAAATATTGTGTTTTGAGCAAAATGAAACTACTAACGTGTACAATTCTGATCCTCAAATGTCTTTTCCACATTTCTGTACATATCTTTCTTTGAGAACATCCATTGATAAACCATTTTTTTTCAAGATCCAGAAATGATTTTTCTTTTAATTTTGGATATGAAATGTAAAATGCATTAAAGAAATAAATTATCAGTTAGAAAACGGGGGTCACCGATCTTTTTAGGGAATTGTGGCATTAAAACGTGAAATACAAGTAAATAAATATACTACAGTCACAGGAACCCTAGCTACACTTTTGTATGCCTTTTTTGAAAACATTGATTTTAACGTAATTCTTTGACGAATGTATAACCAAAGATGTTTTGAAGTAACATAAAATTGTCATAAAATGATTTTTTTTAAACGGTACGTACAATGGCTGAAATTATAAGTTATAAGATGTGCGCAGTAAAAGTGCGCAATGCAGAACTGCGGAATTACCTTAAACAAGACTAACAAAACCTACATAAAACACAAAACAATAGACACTTCGAAAATTGTAAACATTTTAATTATTTACGTTTCGACTATAATTTAAGTCATCTTCAGAAGAATGCCACGTATTTAGAAAAGCCAACTATTTATAAGCTAGATGCTTGCGTGTTCAAAGTTTGATAACGTCATTAAACTAACGGAAAATTGTTAATTCTTTCGACGCACGCGCACCATGGTTCAATGCTGGATTACAACGGTGGATATGAAAAGCCTCTTTAAATAACAATAATTAATGACCAATCGTTAGATCGATCAATTACTTTACAATTACTATAAATTAAGTCTACCAAACTTGTAGAATAATTACAGTCTAGTAAATTAGCTGGAAAATTTAACAAAGTACGAATAAACTGAAACTCTTCACAATTATGTACATGATTAAAAATTTCTGACTTATCAGACTTAGCGTGTTCCTTGAGGCGTGTGTAGAGACATCTGTCCGTCTTGCCAATATAGGAAGAAGAACAACCAGGGCACGAGAATTTTTACACCACAGAATTCTTGTAAGGTTTTGGAATAGGATCTTTTTGAGATGTAAAAGTGCTAGCATTAACAGTTTGCCAGAGGGTGACGAACTTGACAGGTTTCTTTATGAGTCGCGAGATCTTACGTGTGCAATTTCGTACGAGACCACAACCTTTCTTACCAATTTAATCCAAATTGTTGGTATGATGTGTAACTTCAGTAAAAAAGTTGTCCCACGGTCGCCATCTTCCTAGCAAGTGTCGCTCGCGTGATAATTCGTCATTTGGCAATACGTCATTGCTTTCAAAATGCTTTCAACACCTTTTCCACAACTTTCATTGCTTTTAACAACTTTGAACTTTGAACAAATGATGCATGGATTCGTGCCCTCGTTCAACGCGCCCAAAAGATCTGCAGCCCCCCTGATCTGCTGAACCGCGAAATCCAAAAGATCAAGCAATTCGCTTCCTGGAATGGCTTTCCACGCTGGTCAGTCACAAAGTTAATCAAAACCTTCACCGATAGTAAACCCAACGAACCCACAACCCATGAAAGTGAAAGCATACCAACAATTTGGATTAAATTGCCTTTTATTGGTAAGAAAGGTTGTGGTCTCGTACGAAATTGCACACGTAAGATCTCGCGACTCATAAAGAAACCTGTCAAGTTCGTCACCCTCTGGCAAACTGTTAATGCTAGCACTTTTACATCTCAAAAAGATCCTATTCCAAAACCTTACAAGAATTCTGTGGTGTACAAATTCTCGTGCCCTGGTTGTTCTTCTTCCTATATTGGCAATACGGACAGATGTCTCTACACACGCCTCAAGGAACACGCTAAGTCTGATAAGTCAGAAATTTTTAATCATGTACATAATTGTGAAGAGTTTCAGTTTATTCATACTTTGTTAAATTTTCCAGCTAATTTACTTGACTGTAATTATTCTACAAGTTTGGTAGACTTAATTTATAGTAATTGTAAAGTAATTGATCGATCTAACGATTGGTCATTATTGTTATTTAAAGAGGCTTTTCATATCCATCGTTGTAATCCAGCATTGAACCATGGTGCGCGTGCGTCGAAAGAATTAACAATTTTCCGTTAGTTTAATGACGTTATCAAACTTTGAACACGCAAGCATCTAGCTTATAAATAGTTGGCTTTTCTAAATACGTGGCATTCTTCTGAAGATGACTTAAATTATAGTCGAAACGTAAAGAATTAAAATGTTTACAATTTTCGGAGTGTCTATTGTTTTGTGTTTTATTAAAATACTC